GGGGGGGGGGAGGGGGTGCATGGGTAAAATTGCCGTTCGAAATGCATGCATAAAACTTTGCGTTTTCTTTTTAACGGCGAGGGGTTGGTTGTTTTGACAGTTTGTGCAAAGTACATGTTGTTTGAAGACGTCCAACGAAACAGAAAAAAAAAACGAACCAACAGAACGTGTGAATACATGGGAAACGCCCGTGTAAATACATGGAAAACGTATCTAGGGAGGACACGGGCGGGTCGAGTCAGCGCAAGCAACTGCCAGAGGAAAGCTTTCATCTTTGATTCCTTTTTGGAACCGATCATTCCGTGCTGCGGCAACCTCCTTGAAGAGGGTGAACGTGTCAAGCGGGGGGAAAAGTCTATGCTAACGGGTTTGTTCGGACGACATACTTCTAATGGATATTGAGACGCATGTTCCGCACGCTCACCATGACCTAAGGCATCGCTTAAGTCGAATTGAAAGAAAAAAAGGAACGGAAAAGTTCTTCCTCGGGCAAACTGCAATGCTGTATCGACACACGTTGGCGCGTGCTTTGCCTCTTGCCCTGCTGTGCAACACAAGAGACAACGGGATAAAAATCGCTGGAACAGCACGCTTTCAAATCCGAAGGGTCCCATGTGTACGTGTGTGTGTCCTTCGCTCTCTATCTCTCTTCGAGCCAAGCGCGTTGTGGCTCCGCAGAAAGCACATAAGAAATGATGGAAAGCCTAAAAAAAAGAAATAGAGGGAGGCCGTCGCGTGTGTGGAGGTACATGTAGTCAACCCCATGTATCTGTAGAACGCGTCTGGTGCTTCACCTCTCCTTCCACAGTAGTATGCATACTCCCATGTGGTTGTCTAACATTGGTTGCTGTTGCTCACAGAAACATGCAACACTTGAATTCGCTGCGGCCGTGGGCATTCTACGATCTTCAATACATGGACAGATAAGTGATCATCAGCGTTGTACATGCTCTACTAGGGTTTTTGCCCAAAACCAGCACAACACACAGCAGGTGGCAAGTAGCTCCCCAAGAACGTTTCAACAAGACTGCACCGTATGGTGGTCACCTCGGTGTTGGAGCCTTTCACGTACGTATCGTGGCGATGCACAAGGAAGAACTAGCGTTCGAGGTGATGACAGCCAGTGTACCATACTTCCCAAGTGTCAGTCACGTGTTGGGCGATGACTCTGTACAGCGTCGTCCTTGTCAAACCGTGACACCTATGATACTACCGTGAACGACACAAGATAACACACCCCCCCGGACCGATTTTTCAAATCTCGATTTCTCAACAACAAAAAGAGTCACGGCACCGAAAACGGCGGCGTTGGAACCGTCTTGTCAAGGGCTTTCCAAAAATGTATCGTCTCGTTTATGCATCCTCTTCGTCATGGAGTAATCGAGCTTTGAAACTTGGTCCAGGGGGTGTGTTATTTTACGTCATATAATGTACACAGCAGTGGTAAAGCTACTCCGACATTTGTGAGACCGACATAAACACAACGAACTTGCCGACAACGGGAAAGACTTCCTCGCTGTTATTCGGGACGAAACAACACCTCGAGGGAAGAAAACAAGAACAAAAAACGTTAACGTTGAGTTGGTGTGCTTTGCTTTGGATGTTTATTGTTTTTTGTTTTTTGTTTTTTGTTTTTTGTTTTTTGTTTTTTGTTTCACGTTCAGGTGTGGGGACGCCAAGCTTGCAAAATATGAAAACGTGTGCTTCGTTTTTTTGGCGATCGAGTATCATTTGTCAGTTTTGGGGACGCCATTGCAGTGGCAAATAGACACAGAATCCCTCGCAGGTGCTGCTGGCATTCGCATGATTCGCTTTCCCGATTGTATGCTGTATTCAACATGTTTACCTAATCGAAAAAACCTGCAAAGGCTACCATAATACTGCATTCGCATCATCACCCATCGAAAGCAACCGTGGTATGGTAAGCCATCCTTGCCTTCGCGTCTCGTATGCATAGTGCATGTTCAAAAAATGAAAAAAAAAAAGGGGGAGGGGAGGGGCGCACGCTCACGCACACACGCCCGGTTTTTGCTTCTCGAAGGAAATAACTGTGAAGATGACGTGAAGACACATGTCCTCCTCTTTTTTTATGGGACAAGGTCACACACGGCGCCAAGCACAATAATTATTCCCACCGCTTTAACATATGCAGAGACAAAGGGGCTCCCATGGCACAACGCGCCACCGCGTGAGAACCTGGGCGTTAACTAAGGACTTCAGACTCAGGAGACCTTGACCAATAACAACAGGTGCTCCGCGGTTGAGAATCATACAGTAAAAACCTGGGGTGGGTGATGTTGGGCTTACCCCCCCCCCCAGACAACAGCAAACCAGCCTCGGGCATAAGAAGGAAGAGTTTCTTACTGCTGACTCGATCTCAAACCGAGAAGGCTTCGTGGGGATGCCGACAAAAAAACAACACCAGCACGCACAGCTTGTTCGCTTCGTTAACACAACGTGTTTTCCTTGTTGTTGTTCTTATTAATATATAAACACAATAAATCCATCCCTTACAGCAGTATCCGCGGATGTACCTGGTACTTTGTTTACATAGCAGCGGATCCAGAGTGTCAGCGCTACATGGGTTTCAACTTTTTACCCGTGAAACTGACGAGGTCTGAAATACCGAGCGCGGGGGGGATGCGCAGGAAACTGGGGCCCTTTGACGCTTGCACGCTGGAGGGAAGCATGGATGACTCACCTATGCATCACAAGCTGAGGAGCAACATGCTGGCGTGTTCCGTGTTCTGTGCGTCATCAAACCAATGTTCCAGAGACACCAACTGCTAGGGCAAACAACCAAAATCTGTTGCTACCGCGGTACCCCGTGCATTCTTCATTCACGACGAGGTTGCCCGATAATGGCGTCATCTGCCCATCATCAAAAAGGGTTGCTCAAGTCTCGATTTGATGTGTGTGTGGGTTGCAACAGCAGAGAAGACTTGATCTAATATGTGTTGCACCAGGGGAAACACAAGAAAAAACGCGCTGTGTCCAAACACGTGATTTACGCGACCGCCTCCGCTCCGGCATTTATCATGTCACAGAAACGGCAAGGGCAGTGTTTCCAGTGCAGACACGATCTCGGCAACGGCCCACCATATTACTGCTTGGGCCCACCTTGAAGGCTTCGTGCGACCAACCCAAAACGAGCCATATTTTACCAGTCCGCCATGCATGCCCGCGCGAAGGATTCAATACATAACAAAACAACCAGAGACCCGCCACGGACCCTTCACATCTGTCCGATGTGGTCGATGCGGGCCAATAATGGTTGATAACGCTGTTCTTTTACCCGCGCACAGACAGAAGCAACGTGTCGCTCGCTCTCAACGATGTCTCCTGCTAAACTCTCGTATGGTCCACCTCACCTTGCCGTAAGAGCCCTTCCCGAGCACCCTCAGCGAGCTGAAGTCGTCGATCGACGGCCGCGCGCCCTGGTGGGTCCCCGCCGTGTACAGGTTTTCCTCCTCCCCGTCGTCCGAGCCCACGCTCAACGCCGCCGTCCGGGACGGGCTGGTCGATCTGCTGGCCGCCCCCCTCCCCCCCCCGCCGCCGCCGCCGCCGCTGCCATCCCGCCTAAGCGGAGCGGTCGCCTTCGCTTGCTCCCTCCCAGTCCCGGCCGCCCCCGCCGCCGCTTCCGCCCCCGCCGCCGCAGCACCAACAGCTTGCGTTCCCAGCCCAGCTCCCTCTGCTGCTGACGCCCTGTCCGTTAAGGGTTGCCGTGGTTGCTGCAGCGGCCCTTCCCCGCCGCCGAAGGACGGTGCTTCCTCGGGTGCGGCGGGGGGCTTGACGCCGACGCCGCCGGAATCGGGGCCCGGCGGCGCGACGTCAACCACGGTCCCTCCTGCTCCCGGTGCTCCCCCCGCCCCCGTCGAGGCTGCTGCTGCTGACGTTGTCCCTGCCGCCGGAAGGGCACCGCTGGTTCCTGCGGAAGAACCCGCCTTGCCACCGCCATCGCCGCCGTCTTCCTTTCCCTTCCCGCTGCTGCTGCCGGCCGAGCCGCTGCTGCTTCCGCGCGAGAATATGCCCAGGAAGCGGGGGCTGGGGGCGGGCTGCTGGTGCTGGTGCTGGTGCTGGTGCTCTCCCCCTGCTGCGGCCGCGGAGGCAGGGGCGGCGGCGCCGTCTGCGCTTTTTGCCGCGGTGCTTGTTGCAGGAGCGCTCTCTTCGGTGGGAGCGGGTGATTGCGCGCACGGCCGGGCAGCATCACCATCGTTGGATGAAGAGGGGTGTTGTTGCTTTCCCGCTGTCTCCGCGGGGGCGATGCCCGCAGCACCAGCACCCAGATGCCGCTGGGCCGCAGACGAAGCCGCAGCTGCCGCCGCCGCCGCGGCGCTGGAGGCTTGTCCCGAGGAGGGGGACGAGGGTCTCGCGCCGTCGCTCGTTGCGACAGAGGTTATGTTAGACCGCACATCGTCTCCGTCCGAAGCACCCTTTTCGTTGCCGACCTTCCGGGCAGCAGAGGCCGCGCCGGAAGCATCAGCCGCCCTGTCAGCCGTCCTGCCGGCCGCCGCAGCGGCCGGCGTTCCCGCGCTGCCGCCGCCCTTGCCCTTGCCCTCGTCGTTGGGAGCGAAGAGTTTTTGAAACCATTCGGTGAAGACGCTCGCCATGGTCAGCTCGCTCGAGCCTCCCTTGTGCCTGCTGCTGTTGTCGTTACCGTCGCGCCTTCCTGCTGCTGCTGCTGCTGCTGCTGCTGCTGTGCCCGGGACGCCGCCGCCTCCGCTGTTGCTCCCGCTCGCTAGCGTGCGTTCTGAGTAATGCTTCCCCTCTCGGTCTGGCTCCTGCTTCGGAAGAGGCGCCGTCCCCAGCCCTTGTTGTTGTGTTGTCTGGGCGGGGGCGTCGAGAGGGCTCGTTGGAGCAGTTTTGGACTTTCGTCGTCCTGGAGCAGCCGAACGCCGCCCGGGCTCCGCTCCAAAAGAAGGCCTCGGAGAGACGCTACGGGCGCTCCCTCCCCCACTGCTGATTCTTCGGGTCTTTCTCTTGTGTGCCTTGAGCATGCGGCCTGCCTGATCCCCAAGACAAGACGGCGTGTGAAGAAAGACACACACACGCCCTGCGCGTTCGCACTATATTTAGAGAGAGGTGGCTTTGGAGTTGGTGCCCCCTGGGTGTCGTCCCCCCCTGCCTAGTTGGAAAAATAAACGATGATTGCCGACTGCGACCGCCGACGCAGTACAAGACTTGTCCAGACGTAGTACCTCGGATAAGGGTAGAGGTAGATGCTGCAGGGGGTCCGAGGAGAGCCAGTTAACAAGCGCCCGCGAATATAGTGTAAGTTGTATCACTGATCACGCGCCATCGCCGATCGAGACACGTCAATTTGTCGTCGTCCAAATCTGGACTGGAAACCCCGGGTACATGGTCTTCATGTCCCCGGAAAATGTGCAAAAAATTATGCCCGGCTAGCTTCTTCTTTGCGTAGTCGCAACACACAACAGAACGCCATCGTCGCGTACAGGTGTACTTCAACAGCGAGAGGGATGAGATATAGTAGGGCAAGGGTTTCGGACAGCTGGTCCAGGCATCGTGTCGCCGGGTGACGATTGGTGCTGTTTGATTTTGCTCAAGAGCAGGAGAGACAGAGCGAGGCAATCAGCTGCTGCCACATTGCTCTGCGCTGCTGGTGAACCACAGGTACGTCAACAAACTCTGCCCTGCCGCCGCGGTGTATGTAGATAGGCCGGGTGGCGCGTAAGGCGCGATAGAGTTTTCTTCGAACGTGGCGTGTTCCCCCCGGCGCGTTGAGAGTGGTGTCCAACAACTGCTGTATTGGTGTGGTTTGTAGACACCCGAAGGAGTCTGTCGCAATCGGGTAAATCTCCCCCGGTTTCCTCTACGAATGTATGTATTGTATTACGTTATCGCGGTGGCTCATGGGGGTTGTTTTTCTGTCGATTTTTCTCCCAAAAGCGCGCGTGTTGTGTGCCGATAGTTCTCCGCCATGGCGGCAGGCACAGGGTACATACCGACTGCTTTTCCTTCTTGCCTGCTTTGACTCGCGCACCTGCCGCGGTGTCTTGCTACTGATGTGGGATATCTGCTGGCGTTGTTGTTGTCGAAGCAGCAAACATATCCTTCGCCACTGGGGTGTGTGGCGGATTAAGAATGGCCATCTCCGCAGAGGCTGTACGCCCTCCTTCGTTGATGATCTACAGAACAGAGGCCCGGAGGCTGTGCAAGCAGCGCCCTTGATGATCCACATGTGGAACAGATGTTCCACTACCGTGTTGCTTCAAAAAGACCAGCGAGGACATGCACAGGTCACACTCGCGGGTGACCTCAGGCCTGAGGGTGTGTTCCCCCCCCCCCCCCCCCCCCCCCCCCCCCCCCCCCCCCCCCCCCCCCCCCCCNCTATTAATAAGTACTTCTAGGCACATGTGCATTCCTACGTTTTGCGGAAAACGCTGTTCGGGTCCGTTGAGAAGTTCAGACCCCGTGTCGCCTCCTGTTTGGGCTCCCTCTCAAAATCCTGTTTGGACTTTCAAAATCAAGAGGGATGACGTAGTTGATGTCGTCCACAGAGACGAACCAAGTTAACGTGGTCAGAGCGAGTGTTCCTATCGCCTCGTGTGAATCGCACACTCGTGAATTGAAGTTGGTTGGCCGTGCCATGCGCCGGGCGTGATGCGATTGATTCGTCAATGAAATCGGTGACATTTGTAGTTATTGTTGGGCGCTGGGTCTCGGAAGATGTGAACTACCAGTATTTGTTAATTGGACCACAACAAACGACGAATTTGAGCCCGAAAGCCAAGACACTATCGTGAACGACGAAAAAGAAACTGTTTGCCTTCAACAAAGGCCCTTTTTGTTGCCGACTGAACGCGGGGTCGACCACACCGCTAACCCCCCCCCCCCCCCCCCCCCCCCCCCCCCCCCCCCCCCCCCCCCNCCCCCCCCCCCCCCTCGCCAACCACGTCCATGTGCCCCAAACGGTCTTCCGCCCTTGTCTCCCACCCGCTGCAACAACAGCAGTAGTCTCGAGACCCACCGCTGACTGCTCTTTGGTCACTGCCCAGGCACGCTGACGTGAACACCGGCTGCACGTTTTTTTTATCGAGAGAGCTAACTCCGCGGGCTTGCCCCCGATGAGCGAGCAGGGCGGTAAGCCGACGGGGGGCTCCCGCCGTGCTCCCCGACGAGGCTTCGAGGTTTATTCCCGACGCGCCGCCGAGGCCGCCAAGACTGCCGCCGCTGGCGGAGGCGGCGGCGACGGTCATGACACGACGAGGGGCCGTGCCCTCTGGGAAGACGAGCGGGAGGCAGCCCGGCTCCCCACTGGAGACAAGGAGTGGAAGCGCGACAGGTGGGACGAGGATGAGAACGGGGCGGAGAGCGGCGCCGGCACTGCCTCGTCGGTGCGCGGCAGGGGAGCGAAAGAGACCAGAAGAGGCGGCGGCGGCGGCGGGACGGCGGTGGACGCGGAGATGCCATCCGAAGAGAGGTACGAGGACATGTCGAGGAGGGTGGAGGAGGAGGTCGTTGCGAAGCTGGCGCGCGCGCAGATGATGGGCATGATGCTCAAGGCTCATCGCGAGCAAGAGCAGGCCACCGAAAGACGTCGCGGCGGTGGCGGAGGGCGTCGAAGAGACGGCGATAGCGGCAGCGGCGGCGGCAGGCGGTCACGCGGCGGCAGCGGCGGCGGCGGCGGTGGGACCGACTCCGCCGGCCCCCGGCAGGTTTTACAGCGGCCTAAGGATTCCGGACGGCAGCGTCCGGGCCAGGCCGCTCCGTCGTCGTCTACCCGGGGAGTAGTCGTGGTGGGGAGAGACGTCAGGGTTGGCGCGCCGAACCAGGCGCGGTCCGGTGCGGGAGCGACTCCTCGAAGCAGCGGCGGCCGCGGTGCGCGTCAGCAACCGGCGGGCCTCCTCAAGGTGTCCGCCGAGGAGCTACTGTTGTTCGAGGGCAAGAGTCGTGGAGCTGCGCCGGCGGCGGCGGCGGCGGCGGCGGCGGCGGCGGCGACGGCGACGCGCGCGTTGGCGTTGCCTGGAGACTTGGGCGGCGATCCCGATGAGATGGGCATCGAGGACGCCTATGCGATGGTCGGCGGCATCGAGCGGCAGCACAAGGCGCTGATTGAAAGCCTTCGTAGGGAGATCGGTCTTGTCGCGGCCGGCCGCCCCGGAGCAGCTCAGGCTACCTCCGGCTCCGCGGCGGTAGTGGAGGCGGCGGCGGCGGCGGCCGTGGCATCGTCATCGAGGGACGCCGGGGGCGAGCTGCTCCCCGGCGTCGCGCTCTACGGCAAGGTATCTCGAGTACGAGTCGCGTTAAGTCGGGCGCTCGGCTCGCTTATCCGGCGGGACACGGGCTTTTCGCTGAGGAAGCGCCTGCCGAACCGTCTCTGGATGGCGCACTACCGCGAGCTGGAGGTGATCCAGCAAAGGCTCCGGCAGCTGCTCGCGGGCGCAGGCGGGGCGTCGGACGCCGTCGGCGCGCCGCAGCAGCAGAGGCAGATGCAACGGCAGGCCCTCCGCTCCCGGCTGTTCGCTCTCATCGACGAGGCCGAGCGGGATATCGGCGGCATGGTGGGGGCGGTGGAGCGGCAGCAGGCGGCCGCCGCCGCCGACTCGGCGAGAAACAAGGGATCGGCGGCGGCGGCGGCGTCACCATCGTCATCATCTTCCAACGGGGGCGACAAAGCCAACGCCGACAAGGCCGATGCTGGAGACGCCTCTGGAGATAACGGCAGCGGCGACAGCGCGGAGGGAGGGATGGCGGGCTCGATAGCCGACAGCGACGACAACGACGACGACGATGAGGACGTGACGCTCGAGGAACAAGGCCGACAGCAGGCCCTGCAGGCGTTCTTGACCAGCCTCGGCGACCTGTGGCGCTACCGGGGATTGCACGGTGGTGGTGACTCCGAGGGCAGCGGCGGCAAGGGAAGCAAGGCGTCCTATGCGCGAGCGCATGAGCTGTACCTGCGTGCCCTCAAGGTTGACCCTTCTTCGGGAAAGGCGAGTATGTAGTAGACTTTTGGGTGGGCGGGTCGGGGCGGGGG